CGGTTAAATAATAGATATGTAAATATATTAAAATCTTTTTATATTAATATAAATTTTCTTATTTTATCAAAATAAGAAAAAAACATGGGCTTAAATTTATATGTTTGGCGGAACGGGACTCACGCCTCCATTCTAAAATGTGAAATTTCAATGTCCAAATATAAATTTGTTCAGGCTACGCCGACATTCTGTGCAGCCGAACAAAAGTCAAAAGTGTTTTGAAACAGTCTTAGCTTGTTTGGGGCAGCTGCGACTTATCAATAAGTTGTTGCGCAACAGCTGCCTCAAAAAGCTGTCGCGCAGAAGCTGCTGTGAATAAGCTGGCTGACTGTTTGTTTTATGTGGTTTGAAAACAGCTGTGTGAAAATTGTTTCTGGACAAATGACTATTCAGCCTCTGTATAATAATGTTTTTTGCAATATAACATTCTCCATTCTAAAATGTGAAATTTCAGTGTCCAAATATAAATTTGTTCGGGCTACGCGGATATTCTATGCAGCGGAACGGAAGTCGAAAGTGTTTTGAAACAGTCTTAGGTTGTTTGGGGCAACTGCAACTTATCAATAAGTTGTTACGCAACAGCTGCCTCAAAAAGCTGTCGCGCAGAAGCTGCTGTGAATAAGTTGGCTGACTGTTTGTTTTATGTGGTTTGAAAACAGTTGTGTGACAACTGTTTCTGGACAAATGACTATTAAGCCTCTGTATAATAATGTTTTTTGCAATATAACATAACAACACAGGTGAAAACATAGCAGCACAAAAACATAAAAAAGAATCAAGATTTGCCACCACATCAGGGCATGAATCTAATTCATTTCAATACCTAATGTCTACATTAAGAAAATAACATAAAAACATTAAAATTTTAATATCCCGTGTTAATGAAATGAACTTCAATTTGACTGTTACCATTCATTTTGGAATATCCTTTCTGAAAACCTGACATCCAAAACCCAAAAGTAAAACCTTTAGCACTAACTGGCGAATGAAAATATTAGCATTTGCAACAAAAAATTCAGCACAACTTAACCATTAAAAACTAATAATTTGATCAATGCAATTGAAATTACAAAGAGATGGAGGTCAGTATCAAGTTATGTGGTTCAACTGCACTGAATAACCACGACGCAATATTTATGATCGCTATGAAAGCAACAAACAAGGAAAACCACATCACTAAAAAAAAATAGATTATTGCTACACATGGCTCATTCAAACTCTTAATGAAATGTATATAAACAAAGATCTAGAGACAAGTGTAGTTCCTTCCCAACATTCTTCAACAAGCATTGTTTCGAGAATACCGTTCATTACTAATGCATAAAGATTCAAACTCAATCTCCAGACATTTCCACCAACAAATTAGTAGGCTCATAAGCAAAAATCTTAAACAAGAAGCATAAACCACAACTTACTTGTGGCACCAAATTAATCTACCTTCACCAAATCCCCAAGGAAAAATATTTATAGATCTAAACTCTCCCTAAACAAACTTGTCACCGTCCATGATCATCTATCAACCATTCTGACCACAAAAAAATACCACGACAAGCAAATTCCCCGACGCAAGCAAGAAACCACCCAATCTCCCAAAACAACAATAAATATCACAAGGACACAACAATATAACATAACCACAAAGCATTTGCCCCCCCATTTTATCACGATCACCGTAAGCACCTAACCATCCCTTGTTCCTCCCTCTTCTCCTCAACCTTCAGCTGTCTCGTCACGAATCCAGCCAATGCCGGCGGTTGCATGTCGGCGAACAAACAAATGCTCCGACTCCAAAACTCTATCCAATCTCCCAAAACAACAATAAAAATCACAAGGAAACGAATCCAGCTAATGCCGGCGGTTGCATGCCGGCGAACAAACAAATGCTCCGACTCCAAAACTCTATAATGACAATGCAAGCTCCCCCCCGTGCCACCTGAGATCAACTCTCAACACCCGATCACGAGAGAAGAAAAAGCGAAGGGGCGAGAGAGGATAGCATAGGATAGTAAAATACGCGACGCCATGTAATTGATAGCCATAAGATAAAATAAGTTGACATATGGCTACTGCAAGAAAATCCCGCCGATGGGCAGCCTCACATTTTTTTCGGGATAAGTTGAGGCCCAGCCGCCATTAATGCAAGCCTTAGTGCAACCCTCCGAAACGTGGGAATCATGTGGGGGCTCCGCCCAAATAAATCCACCTAAGAACGAGACAACCGGGTGGGCGAGATCTGGCATGCGTGCTCTTTTAGATTTAGGGCGCCCGGGATCGGCAGCCTGAAAGCCGCTGCTAAATTGCGACGTGGCTGGATCTCCTCCCCCTCTCCCTCTCCGCAGGATTTTCTCCCGAATCTCGTACAACCTCCCTAACCATCCATCCGAAATCTCCATTGCGAATAAAGTTGTGGCTCAGATTCGTGCTGGCCTACTCTTCATGTTTGCCACCTCACTGTGGAGAGTGTTAGGGTGGAGATGCGAGGAGAAAGGAAGAGAGAGTGAGGAGGCTTCTGGAGTTAGGCATGCCGAATCGACAGCTCTCTTCGCCGGACATTACAGCCTTCATGAATCTGCTTGTCTATAAACCCATGACGGATGGATGGGCTATTGTCGTCAGGATTGCATTGGGTAGTAATGCCGGGCGTAAAAGATATAGAGAGGAGGAGAAAGAAGGGATGAGCAGGAGGCTGCGACCGCCGGAGTTTCTTTCCGGTTCTTAGGGTTTGTTGGTGAGTGAATGCTGTATGCTCTCGGTTATTTTATTTATTTTCTTCTGTGCTTGTTTGTTTGCCCTGCTACTAGCTGCAGAGGTCTCGGTGAAGCATGAGATGCCCGGCATTTCGTTGGGAAAATGCAGGAAGAAGTTAAACGTGGCTTACCTATTTGACTTGGAATTGATTTGAAAACCGCAAGTGGTAGCCCTTGTTGATTTATATTTCGGAATCGGTGATGGGAACGAGCCCGGTGAGGGAGCTGGCAAAGGTGATTGATTTATTTTGGAAGCTGACATCGGATTTCTTTGTTTGTTGTATGTTTGTTTTTATGACTTGGGATTTGCAGACTAGGAAACCTTACACAATTACAAAGCAGCGAGAGAAGTGGACGGATGAGGAACATGACAGGTTCTTGGAAGCACTCCGGTTGTATGGCAGGGCGTGGCAGCGTATTCAAGGTATTGATATTCATGAGCTTTGTTTTAAGTGCATGCTTTTTTTTGGGTCAAATTGAGGGCCATGCCCAGCCACCATCATTGAATCAAAGGAATGGTTACAAAAATGATAAAAGTAATAGAAGCACTAGAAGGATAGAAAAAATGACCCAAAAGTTGAGTTGAAACCAAGCACAGAAAAGAACATAAGCCACCAAGGTTATCAATGATAAAACAGCTCCATCCAAGGCAAACCTGGTACAGGTGGAAATCTGATAAGAAAATAATAGGCAACAGAGTGCACCCTGAAGCAAGACCTGAATTGAGACAAAATCTAATTGTAGGAAATACCAATAAGATGAAAAAATCATAGGGACAGCCACTAGACCAAAGAAAATGCTTAAACCAGTGGGGTAGTGCAGTTGGTGGAGTAGTAACTGTTCAAGCATCTGCTCACAGCAGCAGCTACCCGTGAAATAGGAAAACAATCAAAGTATTAAATGCGTGTTAATGAATGAAGCCCTTGCCAATGACAGACCAATTATCCAACACATTTAGTTGAGAGAAAATGCTGAAAACTGAAAATATGAATCACAGAGCAATCTAAAACAAAACAAAAATGAGCATTATGAAATAGCAGGTCCACCAAGTAAAGCTGAGGTACAAGCGAAAGATGCTACGAGGTTGCCGGTTGAACCTATTGCAGTGGCTGACATCATTACTCAACCAAAACAAAACTTCAATTATAGAGGCAACCATAAAGATATTGAAACTAGCAAGCAGAACCATTGAAAAAATAGAGGAGCAGTATGCTCATAAGGCAACAAGCTCATAATAGATATAAAATTTTGAGGAAGGATGGATAATCCATCTTGAATTTTCATCTTTTTTGCCTTTTTGCTTTATAGCCATATGAATATTTTGTACCAGAAAATCAGGGCAGGATCATTTCTGAAGATTCTACAATTTCTTTCTTGCCAAATATAATTTGTAGTAATATGCATCGCCGAAGGATAAAATTTTTTAGTGAACTTGTAAGAAATTGTATCAGAATGAGTAAGAACTTATAATAAGTTTCCTCCAAACAAAAAGAAGTTATCATAAGGAATGTGTTGTTTAAGTTAATAAAAAGTGAAATAGCATTCAACAAAGAGGCCAAACAACCAAATATACAACTTTTTTCTACCAAGATCCCTCTGTTGCTAAGAATATGAACAGCTTTGAGACCAGAAATAATAGTTTTCCAAGTGGAAATATCAAATTTTGAAGAATAACCCTTAAACCAGATACATTTATACCAATAAATCTTTGGAATGCTCTCATAAGCTACAGAGAAAATATCTTATGGCGATAGAAGTTCTCACCTTTCCAAAGACATATAATAATATTCTCTTTTATAGGAATATTGCATATTGCTTGTATAAGGTGTTTAGGTTTACTGGGGAGAGCCTAACGGTTTATTGTTTATGACGTAAGAATTCATGGCGTGTGAATGATTGTGAAACCAACAGAAGACTTGGTTTCCATATTTTTCATAAAGAGAACAACCCTCAAGTCATGAATCAAAGAAGAAAAACAATCTACTATTATGAGTGATTTAAAGAACCAAGGAACTTCTAATACGTGTGATCACTTGTAAGATAGCTTTCCAAAAGGTGGAAATGTTATTCTTTCCCCTAAACCAAAGTGAATAATAGTGGTTTTGGCACCAGTTGGAAAGAAGGGAGTTGAAATTAAAGTGCCGTCATATGACGTTGGATTTGCACATCAAATTAATTACATAGGTTGGGAAGACTCAAATCACCATACTCTTTGGGTTTAGTAAAAGTACTCCAAGGAATAATATGCATTCCTCTTTCTGTACTAAAATACAAGAAATTGTTAAACAAAGATGTAATTTTTCTCCTTATAGTTTTAGGGATGAGATAGGATCGGAACCAATAGTGCAAGTAGCTCCATATAAGCTTCTGGTTCCAAGGGCACAACCAACGTTGTATTTTTCAAGTAATTTAGTGTAGTGAGAAGCCTTCACCTCAGAAGAATGAACTGCATTACCAAGATAGTCCCAAGGCAACACATATTGGGTATGCAATCACAAGTATCACACAACCTTTGTTGTTCAGTTGATCCACCGATTTTGAGGAGCATATGACAGAAATTGGTGGCCTTATAAAATATTCTCAAACAATTTATCTATAAGGCTGCAAACTGAACTTGGATGGTGATGTACTATTTCAAAGATTTGACTCGTGCATTAAACAATATATTATGCTAGTTCATCCTTCACAAAAAATTGTGAATAACCTAAAAGGCCTACTAAGTCATTTTGTGGTTGCTGGCCTACCTAGCATAAAAATGCTACTACCATGAACTATGCAAGAGCTCTTGAAGTTTTTATTATAGAAAAATGGGATAAATCTAAGATAAAATTGATTGTTAACTATTATTTAAATTCTTTGATAACTACCTTCATTTGTAAAGAGCGTTTTCACTCTAGTACTATGGATTATTTAAGATGTGAGATTTGAAATGCACAAAAGATTCAGGGGGAGCTGTTTTACATCTTGATTTACCTATTGTGCATAATTATTTTTATAACTAGTTGGACTAAACTGTTTCCCAATGACGTGAAATCCAATCCAGCTCATATGTAGTTGATCATTGTTTATGTTTTTAAATCCTTTGTTTTCATTGGTTGAGGAAAACATATTTTTTATGTGTGCTGGATTTCAAGCAAAAATTTGTTCCCTAAACTTAGTTTAAAATTTTATAAGAGAAAAGCAAAAGAGTTTTCCTTTCAAATGTTTAAAATAGAATTTTGGATTTTTGATATGTAGTAAAAGAACAGAAATGCTTCTAAGGGCTTAAATTTACTGGATTTACATTTAAATTGTGTTCGAAACTTTCCACAAAATTACCCGTCTTCTTCCATTTTGAAGACTACTTAGATCGTGTGTTCTAGCAAGAAAATAGAGTTGGTTATTAATTATGCACTAGAAGATGTTTCAAGTTTTTTAGCATACATGTAATTTTTTTTATCTGATCCATTGATGGTGAATCATCTCAGCCATAAATTTCTTCGAAGGCTAAATTTCATCATAGAATCAATATATGTAATTGTTGTCTTCATTTCCATTTTACCATAGCTTGGGCAGACGATCCTTTCAATTTTGTGCGTGTATTTGAACTAGGTTATTTAACCCATACTTCAAAGCACAATTGTATTTTCTATTGATCTCATCTTTTTTGCTCTAATATGTAACGGATCATGAAGGTGTCATGTAAATTAAGGTATTTGAGTCCCAATGAAGAAATTTTGTGTTCATTGTTCTATGTGAACTTATGAGCTACAAAATCCTAATTTTATTTTGAATGTGAAAGTTTTAGTGGCTATCACTTCGGAAAAAACTGGGCGTAAAATAAAAGAAATTTTTGTAAACTAGATATGATGGTGTTCTATTCAGCTTAAAGAGGGTTCTAAGTAAATTTGCAAACCCTGACTATTCCATATGAACTGAAGTTGGTTAATTCTTTGGGTAGCTAGTGTTACATGGGCTGTTTGAGTCACTTCAATATTTTTTTGGTGGATTATAATCTCAGCATACAAATTAATTATAGCTGAAACTCTCACTATATCCATCATTCACATTGTCAGATAATAGAGAATTTTCGGTTGCTTGTATTTTTAAAATAAAGAGAAACATTGCTCTTTTAGTTTTCATTATTTCCCCTTTTACTGCTTACAAGTAGCACCTAGGACTTAAATTTGGCGTTGTTAGAATTATGCTACATGTTGTTACAGAAAAAGGTAAAATCTTCTAGTATATGTACATTAGAGATATTTATTGATTTCTCAAAGATGTTTCTTGGTGCAATGCAGAGCATATCGGTACAAAGACTGCTGTTCAGATAAGAAGTCATGCACAGAAATTTTTTTTAAAGGTCGAGGATTTCATTTAAATTCTGTTTATGATTTTCTTTACATACAAATTCTTGCATTCTTTTTCTCTTAACTTATGTCAGAAGTTAATTAGGTGGATTTGCCAATGCTTTGAAGACTCATTTAGTCTACGAAAGTTTTATTTATTTTGAACGAAATTTATTTTCTTACTTTTAAATTTCCCTGCTCATGTTGCCTTGAAAATTTTTTGAAATTTTTTTCTTGTATAATTATTTGCTAATTGGGTAAATAAGAAATGCTAGAACTACAGGTTTGGCTGGAATACCCTTTCAGATATATCCACAATTGAGTTAGGGCATCCTTCATTACAGTATTAAACTATAACAACCATCAAATCAACTCAAAGGATGTGGGAGGCTGGCATGTAAAAGCATTTAAAATGGGCTACACAAGAAATATACAGTTATTTCTTACACAGAATTTAACAGTTTACTGGTTTGGATAATAATAAATTCTTGTGTTTTGAAATCTCACAATGAAATAATGTTTGCTTAGATTAAGTTCACATTTATTATTAGGTTGGCCTATTGGCATCAACATATTTAATTATATCAATAGCATTTTATTGGTGCAATAATATTGATGATCAAACACCACATTACGACTATATATAAATTAAAATTGAAATTTTCCAATAATTAAAACTGATAAGAATGATGAAAGCAATTAAATAGGCAAACATAACAATTCTGGCCATTAAATCGCAATGTTAGGGGCAATATTAATTTTGAGCAAGTTAGTTAGGTTCAGCACAAACTTGTAACTAAAAATAAATTCCGGACTCTAAATGCTTCAATTACAAATTTACTCTCTCTCTCTCTCTCTCTATATATATATATTCAATTATGTGATTTCAATTATGTTTAAGCCATTCAGAGTGGACCTATGTTGCACAGATACATATGCGAATATGATACAGATACATGACACGTATATTATTAATAATATAGGATACAAACACGCATCAGACACACCATTATAATAAAAAATATTTAAATATATATATAAAGTAAATAAATAAAATATTAATAATATTACAAAAAAAGATATTTAATTGCATTAACTTTTAAAAATTAAGAGTTCATTTGACATCACTTTTGTTTCCTATTTAAGTTGATATAATTTTAATATAATTTTTTTAATTTTAAAAGTAAATAAAAAATATAAAAGATATTTTAAGTGTTTTTCAAAATAACTACTTCAGTCAAACATGTATTAATTTAAATTAAAACATAAATAAAAAATAAAAAAAAGTAAATTAAAATTTATCCCAAACAACTTTTAAGATGTTTATAGATAATTATTTAGTTTATGATATAAAAAAGCATGCTTTTATTATCTTATATTGCATTAAGATTTAATTCATCTTAATTAATTATTCATTAAAAAAAATAAAAGGATCAGTGGCTTCTTTGACATAGAATTATTTTGTATTCTCATATCTAACACCTAAATTTTGATTTTACATTTATTACACCCAAATTTGGCCATCATATCTCATCTAATATACCACAATTTTTAGTTTTAAAAAGTGAAATATATATAGATGGGATATATATATATATATATATAATTCAGGTGTTAGATACGTAAATACATAAAAATTGAATGGTATATATGTACATGTTTCATAAATTTTACATACAAGTATATTTCTTTTGATTTTAGTCTTAAAAATATTTTTCAGAAAATTTTAATTCATTTATTCAAGACACATTCCTGACACGCATGTCCTATTTTTTTTTTTAAATATTATTTAAATGACACTCTTTTATGCCATGTTCGACACGTGTCGAAGCTGTGTATGTGTCCAATACATGTTTGATACGTGCCCGACACTGTACGGCTCCTTAATTAGAAGTGTTTGTGCATCATTGAGTAAACTTGTAATCATTTTGAAATTGATTTTTAATTTAGAGTGTAGTGTGACATCATGTTGAGATAGTTTCAAGGCAGTTTAAATTTAAAGCTTTTTTCAGGTGAATTTTGAGGTTTTTAGTGATCTTATTTAAAAACTTATTTGCTTTTTAGTGTCAATATAACTTATTTGCTTTTTTATTGTCAATATAACTTATTTGCTTTTTTAGTGTCAATATACTTATATACTGGATATATATTTTAAATGATTTTTTCTTATTGAGCCTGTTATTATTAATTAGTTAACATATCATAAGGCCTTAATAAGAGGGAATACAATCATTCAGACAACCCAACTTTATGTTGTATGGATCTGGAAAAATAACTGACCCAACTAAGACAAATTTGTTTAGATTAGATGTGATGAAACATGGAGGGTAGGTTGAAGAGAGGTAACACCAAGAAAACCTAAGGATGGAGAATTTAGGCAATGACTCTAATGATTATTTTGTTGGAGGAGCCATCTAGCTCACAAAGAATGACCATCAAGCCATACTTAAATTAGGAGGGATTAAGCATTAACTTCAAGATAAAACCAAAATCTTATTAAGTTTAATACCTTATCAATCTTCTTAGTTACATAAGGGTACTACCTGTAACTATCTTCTATATAGCATTCCAACATAAGAGTAAATGAAGGAAAAAGAAACATTAAATTAATACTTGAAAATAATTAATTAAAAATGTTGACCTCCATACCTACTTCATATTGCTACAGGGTGAAATGTGACAAAGTTGATAAAGAATGATGGATAGTGGTTGAAGCATCTTGCAAATTGAAATTGAGACATCACATCAACCAAAATGAACTAATTACTGCTCAATCTACAAAATAGAGGCTTTACTGATTCATTTGAAATGTTGCAATTGACTAAGAAAGATGTCAGGGCTGACAAGCGAGTTACACGATAAGAAATGTGCAATAGCTGCTTGAAGTTATCGAAATGACACCTATTCATAAAATGGATTGCTTTGATGTATTTAGAGCATCAAATTTATCTGAGAACCCCTTAGTCGATTTGATAGATCACAATGAGTAGGACAATAATGTCATGAAAATCTAGTATTATTAAAGTGCAAAGCGCGATGTGATGCTCAAGTCTTTATTTTTTACTTCAAAGCACAAAGAGGTGCGCAGAGCAAAACGGCACTTTTATTAATTAAAACGTTGATATGCTATATAAAATTATCAATGTATAAATATATTTATTAACAATTATAAAATATAAAATATAACTTAAAAGTTAACTTAAAATTAAAAAAATGTGGTGCAATACTTAACTTGAAGGCAAATATTAATAGTGAACCTACAAGTTAAAAATTCAGACAATTTCTAATAGTTTGTTGCAATAATAATAAACTTAAAAATTGCAAAAAAAGCTACAAATTAACATTGGCACTTCAAAGCGCGCTTTAACGAAGCGAAGCGTGCACTTTTGAAAACATTCCAAAAATCAAAGTCCAAATGTTTAAATTGCCATCAAAATTTATTAACATCACATATTCATAAGACGAACTATGTCGATGCATCTAGTATGTCAGAATTATTGAAGAATGGACTTTCCATGGTCTATTTGGACAAACATGATGGAAACGACAAATTTTAAATCAAGCCCGAATTATCTTAAATTGTTATAAAATTGCTCAAATATTGGCTGTTCACAAAATGGATTTTACCAACATGTATAGAATATCAAAATTACTTTCGATAAACACCCATATAGTCCAAAATCTTGCACAAAAGCAATTCGCAAAATTTTCTTGGACATGAGGCTAGTGACATTTAGATTGAGGCACATGATAAATGTGACTGTAAGTCAATTGATACATTTTTCTCGCTTTTTTTATTATTATCTAATCAGTAGAATAAAAATTGCTTATCTAATTCCTATTATAGTCACCCACATCGCGAAATTTGAAGCATCGTGCTGTCTCACCCCATATTTTTTTTTAAATAATAATATATGAAATTTACTAAACCTAAAACCTGTTATAAGGGTCTGCGTTATTTGTTTATAACAAAAAAACTAAATCAAACCAAATTTTTTTTGAATGCTCTGGTTTTTGAATTTAGTGGTTCAAGTATTGATTTTGATTAATGAAATGTTTCATTTTCAATTTTTTATTCAGTTTGTCAATCAAAATTTTTGATAAAATCAAAAGAACTAGTTAAATAGTTATAAATTAAAACACGTTTCATAGTTCACATTCTCGGTTTCACTTTGCCTTCTCAATTTGAACTGCCATGAAAGTAAGAAATTTCTTTTTTAATTACATATTTTTAATTATGTTTATTGCTTGTCAATTATGTAATATAAAAGTTGCATAATGTCTACAAATTGCACAAATAATTTTCAAGTTCAGCTAACTTTGGTTTATCCAAATTCAAATAAAAATAGTAGAACCAAATTATTTTTTACTTTGGTTGGGTTTTGCATTTTGTTGGTTGATTTTCTTCATATTTTTGGACATCCATAATCAATTGGTTTTACAAATTTGTCATCCAAATCATCGAGATTGAGTAGAAGCACTCCTTTCCATATCCTTTTTTGCATGCCGGCACACAAAGCACAGCTGCATTAGGCCATCCCTATTTTCTTGCGCCGCCGTAGGAGAGTACCCCTCGAGTTCTACCCCCTCTTGGCTCCACCAGCGACTCAAGCGCACTTCGCCTCCTTCCCTCTCATGCACTCAAAAGCCCTCTCCCTAGCCAAACTCCTCAAAAGCCTGCTTATGTCCTTTGTCAAGCCTCCACACATGCTTGTTGCCTCATACACACCTCCTCTAGCCTGTAGCACCACACCCAGCACTCTCAAAACCTTGGTCTTGAAACTCGCATCTCCTCCTCTCTCTATCTGTAGACACCCAAACCTGAGCCTCACCTCACAGGGTCGTTGCCCTCTTCCACGACTCCATCCTGTGAATGGTCCACCCCAAATCGACCTTTAGCTCCACCTCTCTGCCATCTTGTATTTGTACATGTCATTTTTGCCCTGGAAGAGAAATTATGTATTTGCATATTTTTTTCGTGTAAGTGAAAACCCACGTAGGTGTTATAGGGAGA